GGGGGGGGGGGGGGGGGGGGGAGCGGGGGGCGAAGCCCCCTCCTAAAAAAATCAACATTCTCATCCTCGTAAATCCAAACTGGCAATCCCATTTTAATATGCCCACATTAAATTTATTCGTCACTCACCATCGGCTCATTCTCAACATCATAATGCTGTAATTCACAAGCAAATATGACCCCAGGATTTTTAAACCCTTGCACTCGTTACCCCCCTCTGCAATAAACCGTTTAATTCGATCCCCTCGAATCCCAAAATTCGCCTCACCAATTAGCCGAGGACTGCGATAAACGCCAGGACGACTGCCACATCGTAAAATATACAGCCAAACCCGAGTGCGAGTACTGGTAGATATGCCATTGGCCATCGGGAATAATGGAGCAGCGAGGTACCGATCGGAGTGAGAGGCCACTGAGGGCCAGTTCGAAGTAAACACGAGGAAGAGGAAAATATCGTACATACACTGTCGTATTGAGCGTCGTAGCCCGGGGTTCCAGCGGCCACGGCCGACAACATCGTTTCAGGAGTGCTCCAGGCACTTCCAAACCCAGTACCAACGCAATCCGATGCATGGCACACGTAAGAGCCAGGGGGAAATTCGTCAGAGACCATCAGAAACGAAAATTAGTGAATTGCCCATTTAAATATCGATTTATTTCCCGGAATTATCGACACTCGAGTCTTGAAAATTTTTTCGCCGACTCGAGGCTGCACCGTCAGTGGGGAAAAGGTCGACAAACGCCCGACATCGCGCCCAAAACTTGGCTTTTTTTATTATTCGCAATTTAAGTCTTATTTTTCATTCCTGATAAGTCGGGCGTCTTTTGCCGAGGCATAATGGCGGTCACAGGGGGGCACCCGGGGGGGTGGTCTCTTCGAAAAATAATGCCATGTTTTTGTATCATACGATGTACCAGAGGAGGCGGCTTGTACACTGGGTGGAAGGAGCCGGAGGGCGCCCTGTGGCCCAGGATGTAACGAGGAGAGTCCGAGCTGAGTCGCCCTCGGCTCCACATATTTTAGGGCGAGCACCTTCTCCACTATCTCTCTCGGTTATCCCCTTTCCACTTTGGTTTTTACTCCCGCCACTTCGGTTTCGTCCTCTCGGGGAGAGCGTGTCTTTGAAGCGGGTCGCATCCGGCCAGGGGCGATGTGGCTTCCTCGCGGGGGTTTTTTTGTACTCGAGGAGCTTTCTGCAACATCAACGTACTGCTGATAAAAAAGAAAAATTGATACGGTCGTGATGGGTTCTCTTTGCGGAACATTTTGATGGGTCAGCTCTCAATTGTGAAATGTTTTTTTTTACAAAAAATTGCAGATTGATTTTATTTGGAAAGTTCGCGGAGATGATCATTTGGTGAATTTCAACAACTAGTTTGTGAAATTTAACAAACTTCATTCGGAATTGTTATGGATTATTCATATTCATTGTTTTACCGGAAATCGATTTCGTACCTGAAAAATAAGGTTTCCAAAAGTTTAAACAATTTCAGTTATTTATTTACAAACAACGAATGTTTAAAAAAATTAAAACTCTGTGTAAAATGTTATTTCAATGACGCTGAATATTCAGGATTTTTTTCAAATTTTTCTCACTCAATTTAATTGACAAATTTGATGATTGATATGTCTGGAATTTTCATTTTCAAAATATATGAAGTTTTTGAAAATTATTCTATGAGTGAAAACAAAGGGATATTGAGACCATTTTTTAAAGCCATCATTCAATGAATTCAGAACTTTTTTTTTGAGTTATCATGTTACTGGTTTTTGAAAAAAATTGAAAATTCAAAAAAATTATATGTGAATTAAATTTTAATTAATGTTGATAAAAAGGACTGAGAGTACCTACATTAAAATAAGAATGATCAGATTTTATCCACTCATTAATGAAAAACTGAAGAAAATTAGTTACATACATAGAATTGCATTTTTTGACTTTTTGGGTGAAAACGGGTTCATATAACACAAAAAATCCAAAACTCAAATTTGAAAGATTGCAATGAATAAACAGTCTAGTAAATATCTTCAACAATTTAGGATTAAAAAAAAATTAAGTTTCATTGGAATGAAATTCTGAATGAAAAACTCAGGAAATCATTTTCACTAAAGGTTATTCACAAGAAAAATTGAAAATATATCGAAGACGTCAGATAAATTCTCCCCGACGCCATGCCGCTATATTTCAAAGCCTCTCGAATTCACGAAACAATATTTCCCCGAACTATCGACGTATAGAAATCATCGCTGACATTTGGGAGAAAAGTCGTGGAGCCCCTGGGCTGTCCCTGCATAACCCAAGTCTCAACATTTTTCTATACTTCTCCACTCCATCCCCCCGGGGCGTTGAAATATCTCCCCACCCCTCTTGATTTACCCACGCGCCATCCGATCAGGCAGAGAATACCCTATCATCCTAACCATCGAACTCCCCGCGAGTCCGTGCTCGCTCTGGGCCATCTATCTTTTTCCCTCCCCCCTTCCTATTTTCATGATGCAGTCTTGCAAATAATTCAGATTAGATCGCCGACAAAATGCGCGTCTGTACATACATCTGATTTTTAATAACAATTTTTAACTTTTTCTCCTGTTTTTTTCTCAGTGATATCATTTTACCAGGTTGGTACAACAGACGAAGAGAAAAAGAGGAAGAGGGAAAGAGAGAGAGGATATTCTGCCTTAAGGAATAAGTCCTAGATCATAACTAATGAGAACGGAAATTCTCGATTTGTGAATACCTATAATTTCCCGTGATTTTTTTTTGTCACACGAATAAGAGTTGCAAAAGTTGTTGTTTAAAAATTGTAGAGCTCCCTCGAGGCCCTGCTGAGGGATATTCTCGTTATTTTTCCATTCACATAATGCATAATGTCCCTTTCACCCTCGGTATTACAGGCACAATGTATACAAACGTTCGACCTAGCCATTTGAAGCCAATGAGCCAATATCTGCTGTTTCTGTAGTGCATGTTTAATATTTTCTCATGAGGGTCTCAGGAGGGATATACGCAGGTCTTATTGGGGTAATATGGTATTTCTTCGCGAAGTGAATGTGGATTCTGCATTTATTCACCTTTTACATGTCAATGAACTCCTCGGAGGGGACAGAAACGTCGAAAAAAAAAATTTTTCATTTTCACCTGGATGAAGGGTCGGATCTTGAATTTTTCCAGGGGGAAAGTCGACTTTCGCTGAAATCGAATTTTTTAGCCGCGTGAAAGTTGATTCCAACTATTTAAGCGACGGGCTATTCAGAACTCTCAAAAGTGTGTGGAAAAAGTGAAGACTGAAAAAGTTTTTTTTTTCAGATTTTCAAAGGGTCAGATTTTCCGGTTTTCCAGGGGGAAAGTCGACTTTCGCTAAAATCGAATTTCTTAGCCGGGTGAACGTTGATTCCAAGTATTTAAGCGACGGGCTATTCAGAACTCTCAAAAGTGTGTGGAAAAAGTGAAAACTGAAGAAGTTTTTTTTAAAGATTTTCAAAGGGTCAGATTTTCCGATTTTCCAGGGGGAAAGTCGACTTTCGCCAAAATTGAATTTTTTAGCCGGGTGAACGTTGATTCCAAGTATTTAAGCGACGGGCTATTCAGAACTCTCAAAAGTGTGTGGGAAAAGTGAAAACGAAAAAAGTTTTTTTTAAAGATTTTCAAATGGTCAGATTTCCCCGGTTTTCCAGGGGGAAAGTCGACTTTCGCCAAAATCGAATTTTTTAGCCGGGTGAACGTTGATTCCAACTATTTAAGCGACGGGCTATTCAGAACTCTCAAAAGTATGTGGAAAAAGTGAAAACTGAAAAAAAAAATTTTTCACCCGGACCCAAAGGGGTCAGATCTTGGATTTTTTCAGGGGGAAAGTCGACTTTCACTAA